TTATCAGTCTTTCAAAAATTCGTTGCATACATCCTCAGTGCATCTGCAAATAAACGCTGCTTTAATGGCCAGATCCAGTAAAACAGTAATTTACAAGCTGACCACAGTTCTGGTTGAAAAAAAAAAAAAAAAAAAACATCATTACTGAGATATCAGAAATGACCTGGTGTGAAGATCTGGTCCGGAAAAGATGGCATAATCTCCTGTACAATTGCCCTGAAGCCTCTCGAGCAATGTACGCCACCTGATGGCACTCCTTTCGTCCAACAACACAGTTCACCCTTCGAATTGAGTGGGAAAACAGTGGCCGCTGAAACAGAGCAAAATTTGCTTGATCGCAGCTTTTAAGGTTGCTTTCTCACCTGTTTTTACTTCAATTGCTCAAATGCAACAGAACAGCAGTAATTTTCCGGAAAATACTTTTTTTTTTTTGAAGAGAAACCGATAAGTTTTCTTACTACCAGGAAAAGGATAACTGCATGTCAGGAAGAAACTGGATGCTGAAGAGGAAGACCACACGAGGGCACGGAGTAGAAGAAAAAGGGAGAGCACTCGCAAACCCCTACAAATAAGCAGCCAGATAGCAGGAGCTGATGAAACATTAAACTTCCTGAACAACACTTTTGTACCGAAAAATCATTGATGACACGCACCAAGCAGGTCCGGCCGATCATCCGTTTTTGCACTAGCAAGAATTTACGGCATACTGGTTCTCGAAGTTTAGGAAATTAATTGTGTAACTACGTGGTACTTGGGCTGGGGAAATCCCTTAAAATTTCAGACCCCAGGTTTTCTGGTTCTCGAGTTGGCGATTTTCCCGCCGAAAACTTTCACGCTGCCCACATGAGGACCAGGCACACCCGGCGACTGACTTTGAAATCTTTAATTGTATGTGGGCTGGAAACATCCTTTTAAAATTTCAGCCTCTCAGCTTTTCTGGTTCCCGAGTTAGCGATTTCCCCCGCCAAAATTTTCACGTGCTCGTACTCGAGGCCCTGACGTGAATGAGGGTCTCGGGGTGGCACTTGGCTGGGGAATTCATTGGCAAAATTTCAGCGCGGAAGCTTATTTGGTTGCCGAGTTGAAATATCCGGACAGACACACGTACACACACAAGCAAACAAATACACACGAGCGCACGCTAGGGTCATTATAATATGTGTTTATGATTTGCATATATGCAAAAACGCATAACTAGCATGCAGTGTGATGCAGCGAAAGGAGACGAGGAGAACAAGAAATAAGTTATATGTCGCGGAAGCTTTGACTAAGCGCGTAAGATGTTATGCCAACGAGCATATGTCATAAAATTCTTTCAAATTAATTATCTTGATCGTGTGGTAGGCATGCCGAAAAGAAGACAGATGGACTCCGATAGTGCCCGTCTGTTGCTCCCAAAAAGCTATCGGAATGGATGTGGAACTGTTTCACTTCCCTGACAATGGCACATATTATGCGCTGCTAATTAGCCAGTGCTGGTGTCACTCTACCAGAGCTACAGCTGTTACCAGAACGAAATGCCTTGAAATTTTGCAGAGGGGCGGAAAAAAGCAGCTCTGTTAATAACAAAACAGTCCTCTCAGGAATTTTTTTTAAACTATGCCCACATTGACCCAATATAACTTACACTGACCTAAAATAACTAATTAGCTGCCATTTTTGCGGTGAAGTTTCTGGCCTTTAGGCCGGCGATTAACAAATAAATTGCTCATACAGTGGGACGCTAGGCCACATAGCGGGTACCAGGTTACGCAACAAGTTGAAGCTACTGCTGCTGGGGCTCAGACAGATAATATTCCCTTCCACTCACTCGATACAGTACAGCAGATGCTGCCCCTCTTCGGCGCAGAATAACTTTGTCGCAGAAACAAGGAATAGAACTGAGGTCTCAAATTTGGGTTATTAAACCTCAAATATAACAACACACATCAACGCAAAGGGAAGTATCATTGTAACAATAAGTCTCATGCACTCAAAGTGCTAAACCTTCCTGTTCCTAACCTTATTATCAAAAGAAACCGTTGACCACATCTGTGGGGATGAACCGAATACAAGAATAAAGAAAGAAGTATAAGCGGAAAGGGCGGGGACAAAAAACCGAAGGGGAAAGGGGCAAGGGCCAGAGAGAGGAGATGAGAGCAACTGCGAGGGAAAAGGGATGGGAGGAGGAGGAATAAAGACGGAAAAGGCAAAGAGGTAATTCTCATTTACACTGCCTTATCAGTTCTGGTCCCTTCTTTCGGGATGTAGTGCTCAGAATGGACGTCACCGTGAAATACCTCCAAAACTCGGGATTTTTAAACAAGCCAGGCTGGAATGCACCAGGCTTGCCAGTGCGATCATGCGTTTTTGCACTAAACTCACGAGTCCCTAATAGCAGGAAAATCCCTGCGCTGCAGCCAAACGCTTGGTATCATATTGGTCATGCTTTGGTTTCTTCCGACATGCAGCAGAATAGGCGTCGGTTGGGATGAGGGTGTTGCATTATAGACCGCATGGACCTTCAGGTACATGATTACTAGTTCTTTGCATGAAGCTCGGTCGTTTTTTTGGTAAATGCTCGCTTTTTGGAAAAATGAAAAATGCAAATCTTTTGAAAAAATGCAATTTTCAAATTCACTAAAAAGTGGAAACATTGCTCGAGCGGTCGTGTGTGAAAAAAGCAAAGTATGCAAATGAACTAACGTTTATTTACATATTTGGATGATGGCGGTCGTTCGGCGCAAAACACACTCGTTTCTGATTTTCTGGTAAAGTTGGGTATTTCTCACGCCTATCTGTAGCAAATTCCACCTCCAAGCAGAAGAACTGTACTTAAAGGTAGAGTATTCTAGCAGATTTTCAGCCCCGCAGTTTAACCGATAAGCGGAATATCCACTTGGCTAAAAATATCTTCGAATGCTCTAAGTCATGGCACAAGTGCAAATCGGTACTCATTTTTGGTATACGATTCCCCATATCGGCGACAAATATGCTGACAAAATCCCTGCCACTGTTTTCGGCAAAATTTCGAGTTAGCATAGTACTAAGTTGCAAACTTTAACGTGATCGTATGCGCTGCACAAGCGTGCGCGACAGTTGAATTTGAAATCCTTAACTTGCACATGCATAGAGAATATTCCTGCAAAGTTTCAGCCTTGCCTGGTTCACAAAACCGTTTCCCACCAAAGAAATTAGCACATCTTTTGCGGGGTCCATATGCGGAGTCTAGGTTCGTGTGGGTGATGACCTTGAAACGGGAGGGTGACACATTGGGTAGGAGCACAAACCCAAAGTTTCAGCTTCCCAGCTTTCCTGGTTGATGAGATGAAAGTGGTTGACAAAATGCACTCGCTTCCGAACACACACACACACAAATACACACACAGACAGCCTCTCGACAACACGCGTTTTTACTGGTTGTAGCAGCGCTATAGTGCTGTTCAGCAAAAACGCACAAAAATGGGCTAGAGTTGCATCCTCACACAGCTGCATAGACATGCAGAGTAAATTTTTGTTGGCGAAACTTGAAATTTGCCATAAAAAATTTGACAGTTCACTTCACTAGAAATTCCACTTGTAAATACTGGTTTGAGGAAAGGGAAAATTCATTGTCCAAAACCACTGAAATTCGATTTTTTGAGCATTTTGGTTTAAGCACAATCAACACAAATTGTTGATCAGATTCAATTATTCATTGCTCGGCAAGGTGAAGAGGTTCAAAAGACATTAAAATTTTTAGAGGTCCAGGTTGGAATTGCTTTTGCACTGGCAAAGCTGCATTTCCCAATTCTGCTTTCAAAAAAATTGCAAAATTGTTCAAACGTCAAAGCGGTGCGTATGGGGTGCTTTTTCTTTGATGACAAAATTTGC